GAGAGAGTGGGAGGAGTCTAGAGAGAGTGGGAGGAGTTAGAGAGAGAGTGGGAGGAGTCTAGAGAGAGAGTGGGAGAGAGTCTAGAGAGAGGGAGGAGTCTAGAGAGAGAGTGGGGAGGAGTCTAGAGAGAGTGGGAGGAGTCTAGAGAGAGTGGGAGGAGTCTAGAGAGAGTGGGAGGAGTCTAGAGAGAGAGTGGGAGGATAGGAGAGGAAGTCTAGAGAGAGTGGGAGGAGTCTAGAGAGAGTGGGAGGAGTCTAGAGAGAGTGGGAGGAGTCTAGAGAGAGTGGGAGGAGTCTAGAGAGAGTGGGAGGAGTCTAGAGAGAGTGGGAGGAGTCTAGAGAGAGTGGGAGGAGTCTAGAGGGAGGGGAGGAGTCTAGAGAGAGAGTGGGAGGAGTTAGAGAGAGGGGAGGAGTCTAGAGAGGAGTGGGAGGAGTCTAGAGAGAGAGAGTGGGAGGAGTCTAGAGAGAGTGGGAGGGCTAGAGAGAGTGGGAGGAGTCTAGAGAGAGTGGGAGGAGTCTAGAGAGAGTGGGAGGGAGTCTAGAGAGAGTGGAGGAGTTCTAGGAGAGAGTGGGAGGAGTAGAGAGAGTGGGAGGAGTCTAGAGAGAGTGGGAGGAGTCTAGAGAGAGGGGGGGTCTAGAGAGAGTGGGAGGGGAGGAGTCTAGAGAGAGGGAGGAGTCTAGAGAGAGTGGGGGGGGTCGAGGAGAGGGGAGTCTAGAGAGAGTGGGAGGAGTCTAGAGAGAGGGGGGAGTGGGAGGAGTCTAGAGAGAGTGGAGGAGTCTAGAGAGAGAGTGGGAGGAGTCTAGGAGAGTGGGAGGAGTCTAGAGAGAGTGGGAGGAGTTAGAGAGAGTGGGAGGAGTCTAGAGAGAGAGTGGGAGGAGTCTAGAGAGAGAGTGGGAGGAGTCTAGAGAGAGTGGGAGGAGTCTAGAGAGAGTGGGAGGAGTCTAGAGAGAGAGAGAGTGGGAGGGTCTAGAGAGAGAGTGGGAGGAGTCTAGAGAGAGTGGGAGGAGTCTAGAGAGAGTGGGAGGAGTCTAGAGAGAGAGTGGGAGGAGTCTAGAGAGAGTGGGAGGAGTCTAGAGAGAGTGGGAGGAGTCTAGAGAGAGTGGGAGGAGTCTAGAGAGAGTGGGAGGAGTCTAGAGAGAGTGGGAGGAGTCTAGAGAGAGAGTGGGAGGAGTCTAGAGGAGAGTGGGAGGAGTCTAGAGAGAGAGTGGGAGGAGTCTAGAGAGAGTGGGAGGAGTCTAGAGAGAGAGTGGGAGGAGTCTAGAGAGAGTGGGAGGAGTCTAGAGAGAGTGGGAGGAGTCTAGAGAGAGGGAGGAGTCTAGAGAGAGAGTGGGAGGAGTCTAGAGGAGAGTGGGAGGAGTCTAGAGAGAGTGGGAGGAGTCAGAGAGAGAGTGGGAGGAGTCTAGAGGAGAGTGGGAGGAGTCTAGAGAGAGTGGGAGGAGTCTAGAGGAGAGTGGGAGGAGTCTAGAGAGAGTGGGAGGAGTCTAGAGAGAGTGGGAGGAGTCTAGAGAGAGTGGGAGGAGTCTAGAGAGAGAGTGGGAGGAGTCTAGAGAGAGAGGGAGGAGTCTAGAGAGAGTGGGAGGAGTCTAGAGAGAGTGGGAGGAGTCTAGGGAGAGTGGGGGGAGTCTAGAGAGAGTGGGAGGAGTCTAGAGAGAGGGGAGGAGTCTGAGAGAGGGGAGGAGTCTAGAGAGAGTGGGAGGAGTCTATAGAGAGAGAGTGGGAGGAGTCTAGAGAGAGTGGGAGGAGTCTAGAGAGAGTGGGAGGAGTCTAGAGAGAGTGGGAGGAGTCTAGAGAGAGTGGGAGGAGTCTAGAGAGAGAGTGGGAGGAGTCTAGAGAGAGTGGGAGGAGTCTAGAGAGAGTGGGAGGAGTCTAGAGAGAGTGGGAGGAGTCTAGGGAGAGTGGGAGGAGTCTAGAGAGAGTGGGAGGAGTCTAGAGAGAGGGAGGAGTCTAGAGAGAGGGTGGAGTCTAGAGAGAGGGGAGGAGTCTAGAGAGAGTGGGAGGAGTCTAGAGGAGAGTGGGAGGAGTCTAGAGGGAGAGTGGGAGGAGTCTAGAGAGAGTGGGAGGAGTCTAGAGAGAGTGGGAGGAGTCTAGAGAGAGAGTGGGAGGAGTCTAGAGAGAGTGGGAGGAGTCTAGAGAGAGTGGGAGGAGTCTAGAGAGAGAGTGGGAGGAGTCTAGAGAGAGAGTGGGAGGAGTCTAGAGAGAGTGGGAGGAGTCTAGAGAGAGTGGGAGGAGTCTAGAGGGAGAGTGGGAGGAGTCTAGAGAGAGTGGGAGGAGTCTAGAGAGAGTGGGAGGAGGAGAGAGTGGGAGGAGTCTAGAGAGAGTGGGAGGAGTCTAGAGGGAGAGTGGGAGGAGTCTAGAGAGAGTGGGAGGAGTCTAGAGAGAGTGGGAGGAGTCTAGAGAGAGTGGGAGGAGTCTAGAGAGAGAGTGGGAGGAGTCTAGAGAGAGTGGGAGGAGTCTAGAGAGAGTGGGAGGAGTCTAGAGGGAGAGTGGGAGGAGTCTAGAGAGAGTGGGAGGAGTCTAGAGGGAGAGTGGGAGGAGTCTAGAGAGAGTGGGAGGAGTCTAGAGAGAGTGGGAGGAGTCTAGAGAGAGGGGAGGAGTCTAGAGAGAGAGTGGGAGGAGTCTAGAGAGAGAGTGGGAGGAGTCTAGAGAGAGAGTGGGAGGAGTCTAGAGAGAGTGGGAGGAGTCTAGAGAGAGAGTGGGAGGAGTCTAGAGAGAGTGGGAGGAGTCTAGAGAGAGTGGGAGGAGTCTAGAGAGAGTGGGAGGAGTCTAGAGAGTGGGAGGAGTCTAGAGAGAGAGTGGGAGGAGTCTAGAGAGAGTGGGAGGAGTCTAGAGAGAGTGGGAGGAGTCTAGAGAGAGTGGGAGGAGTCTAGAGAGAGTGGGAGGAGTCTAGAGAGAGTGGGAGGAGTCTAGAGAGAGTGAGGAGGAGTCTAGAGAGAGTGGGAGGAGTCTAGGAGAGTGGGAGGAGTCTAGAGAGAGTGGGAGGAGTCTAGAGAGAGTGGGAGGAGTCTAGAGAGAGTGGGAGGAGTCTAGAGAGAGAGTGGGAGGAGTCTAGAGAGAGTGGGAGGAGTCTAGGGAGAGTGGGAGGAGTCTAGAGGAGAGTGGGAGGAGTCTAGAGAGAGAGTGGGAGGAGTCTAGAGAGAGTGGGAGGAGTCTAGAGAGAGAGTGGGAGGAGTCTAGAGAGAGGGGAGGGAGTGGGAGGAGTCTAGAGAGAGTGGGAGGAGTCTGAGGAGAGTGGGAGGAGTCTAGAGAGAGGGGAGGAGTCTAGAGAGAGTGGGAGGAGTCTAGAGAGAGTGGGAGGAGTCTAGAGAGAGTGGGAGGAGTCTAGAGAGAGTGGGAGGAGTCTAGAGAGAGTGGGAGGAGTCTAGAGAGAGAGTGGGAGGAGTCTAGAGAGAGAGTGGGAGGAGTCTAGAGAGAGTGGGAGGAGTAGAGAGAGTGGGAGGAGTCTAGAGAGAGTGGGAGGAGTCTAGAGAGAGTGGGAGGAGTCTAGAGAGAGTGGGAGGAGTCTAGAGAGAGAGTGGGAGGAGTCTAGAGAGAGTGGGAGGAGTCTAGAGAGAGTGGGAGGAGTCTAGAGAGAGTGGGAGGAGTCTAGAGAGAGTGGGCGAAGTATAGAGAGAGTGGGAGGGGTCTAGAGAGAGAGTGGGAGGAGTCTAGAGAGAGTGGGAGGAGTCTAGAGAGAGTGGGAGGAGTCTAGAGAGAGAGTGGGAGGAGTCTAGAGGAGAGTGGGAGGAGTCTAGAGAGAGAGTGGAGGAGTCTAGAGAGATGGGAGGAGTCTAGAGAGAGGTGGGAGGAGTCTAGAGAGAGTGGGAGGAGTCTAGAGGAGAGGGGGAGGAGTCTAGAGAGAGTGGGAGGAGTCTAGAGAGAGTGGGAGGAGTCTAGGAGAGTGGGAGGAGTCTAGAGAGAGGGGAGGAGTCTAGAGAGAGTGGGAGGAGTCTAGAGAGAGTGGGAGGAGTCTAGAGAGAGTGGGAGGAGTCTAGAGAGAGTGGGAGGGTCTAGAGAGAGTGGGAGGAGTCTAGAGAGAGTGGGAGGAGTCTAGAGAGAGTGGGAGGAGTCTAGAGAGAGTGGGAGGAGTCTAGAGAGAGAGTGGGAGGAGTCTAGAGAGAGTGGGAGGAGTCTAGAGAGGGGGAGGAGTCTAGAGAGAGTGGGAGGAGTCTAGAGAGAGTGGGAGGAGTCTAGAGAGAGAGAGTGGGAGGAGTCTAGAGAGAGAGTGGGAGGAGTCTAGAGAGAGTGGGAGGAGTCTAGAGAGAGTGGGAGGAGTCTAGAGAGAGGGGAGGAGTCTAGAGAGAGTGGGAGGAGTCTAGAGAGAGTGGGAGGAGTCTAGAGAGAGTGGGAGGAGTCTAGAGAGAGTGGGAGGAGTCTAGAGAGAGAGTGGGAGGAGTCTAGAGAGAGTGGGAGGAGTCTAGAGGGAGAGTGGGAGGAGTCTAGAGAGAGAGTGGGAGGAGTCTAGAGAGAGTGGGAGGAGTCTAGAGAGAGTGGGAGGAGTCTAGAGAGAGTGGGAGGAGTCTAGAGAGAGTGGGAGGAGTCTAGAGAGTGGGAGGAGTATAGAGAGAGGGGGGGAGTCTAGAGAGAGTGGGAGGAGTCTAGAGAGAGTGGGAGGAGTCTAGAGAGAGTGGGAGGAGTCTAGGGGGGGGGGAAAGGAGAGGGGAGGACGGAGGAGTCTAGAGAGAGATGGGAGGAGTACTAGAGAGAGTGGGAGGAGTCTGAGAAGGGAGAGTGGGAGGAGTCCTAGAGAGAGAGTGGGAGGATGTCCTAGAGAGAGTGGGAGGAGTCTAGAGAGAGGGGAGGAGTTTAGAGAGAGGGGGGGAGTCTAGAGAGAGTGGGAGGAGTCTAGAGAGAGAGTGGGAGGATTCTAGAGGGAGTGGGAGAGGAGTTCTAGAGAGAGTGGGAGGAGTTTAGAGAGAGTGGGAGGAGTCTAGAGAGAGTGGGAGGAGTCTAGAGAGAGTGGGAGGAGTCTAGAGGGAGCTTGCTGCGTACAGTGAGTGGTGGGAGACTCGTGGAGTGAGTA